GTGGTGGTGGGACCCTTGGCTGCCCCCGCATGCGGTAGGCCTCCTGGCCGTGCTGTGTCCGTGCCCCCCAATCGGAGCATGTGCTCTGGCCTCACTGTGCCTGAACTCTATCCTGGATCTTCATCCAGCCCAAATTCCTCCTGAGGTTTTCTCAATGGGGGGTGGGAAGTCATTAGACGTAGTTGATTGGCGGCAGGATGGTGGTATTAGAGGGCTGAAACCATGTTTGGGGACGCGGGGGGGCTGGTGGGTGGTCGGGTGTTTGCGGTGCCAACCTTTAAGGGGCTCTTGGGAGATTGTTGGAGGGTCTGCAAGGCTTACATCCAGTGTACTGTGGCGGGTGAGGAGCTTCTTTCAGGGAGGACGAGGAGGAGGAACCCAGAGGCACGAGTTGCAAATCTTATGGTGAGGAAATTGTTGCCCGTTTGTGAACTGGGTCTCTGCTGTAGATGTTCCACTTCAGTGGCCCTTAGAGGCTGCACATGCGTCTGTGGTCTGTTTGCAAGGCCGTCAAGCTCCAGGAAAGCTGGAAAAACTATATTCCTAGGTTCACACTGAGAGCCCCCCCCCACCTTACATTCAGCTCCATCCTCCCCTTGGACAACGTGGGGGACCATGCTAGGGATGAACATCTCCACCTTTTCAGAGCTGGGGGGTCAAAACGTCGGCATGCATTCCTGTGGCCTGTCCGCAGGCACTTTCCCAGAATTCCTGAGACGCCTTTAAAACGATTCAGTGGAAAGAAAACTATCTCGTTCCTACTTTTTAAAACATATATATCCATACATCTTCCATCCACTTGGCTCCTGGTTAGGTTCGTGGGGGGGGGCCTTGGGTTCTCCCTGGACCGGATGCCATATTTAGTCAGTTTTTCAGGTACTCCACGTCTTCTTTCTACACACTGAAATCCCAGTGCCTCTGACCTCTGACCCTTATTGACCCCAGGGTTAAATCGTGTGACCTTTCGCGCTGTTAGTGGATGCCAAGAGTAATGAGTGCTGTGAGAGTTGCGTTGGTAGAGCTTCTGCTGACGTCACTGGCTACCCTGTCAGATTGATGGGACCCTCTTTATCACTTGTTCCCCTTGAAACATCACTGGGATAAATCAATAGCAGTAGTGGGTGATCTGCTAGGTAGGCAGTGGTGGTTTGATGGTTAGGGAAGCGCACTTGCACTGGTTTGAATCCCCGACCAGCAAGGCACCACTGAGGTACCCTGAGCAAGGTACCGCCCCCAAGCACTGCTCCCCGGGCGCTGAATTAGCTGCCCCCTGCTATGTCACGAAAGTCACATATGGGTTAAATGCAGAGGACACATTTCGTTGTTGCGCACTGTGTGCTGTGGTGTGTCAGCAATGACCACTGATCACCAAATTCTAAAGAAAATTCTAATTCTATAGGAATGGGGCTGAGCGCATGAGGTGAAGAGGGGAGTGGAGGAGTGTGATGCTGCCTTTGAGGTTGTGTCCCTGGACAGACTGTCACTCCGGTTGTGTTGGAACGCCAACGTGAAGAGTGTCAAGGAGCTTGTTGTGTTCAGGGCCTGGTGAGGTCAAAGGTTTGATCAGGGTGTCTGGCGTGTTTTGGTTGGTTAGGGAGAGTTTCAAATGGTGCTGTTATTTTTGCTGGTGGCCCCAGGTGAAAGGATACGGCGTGTCAGCTGAAGGGGGGGGGCAAGAAGCATTTAATCTCCCCACCGCCCTGGAAGTAGCCCATCACTGGTCAGGCAATATTCCCCTTTCATTCCCACCTCAGGCTTGGAGCATTTCTAAGATGTCAGGCATTTTGCTAACAAGGAACTTGGGAGGTAAGAGGATCAGGGGGAGAGGAAAAATGTGCTTTCTCAACATTTGTTAACATTTATGTGCAGATATTATGACCCTGCTAATTTGAGTGCTGCTTGGGACAGAAATGCTATGTCATATAAAATCTGGGTTATTTCATTACGGTGGCATAACAAACTCCATCTCCTGAGGAGAAGCATAGCTGGACGCTGAAACTTAATCTAGGGTTCATTACTGGGGGGGGGGGAGATCAGACTTATTTGACAGCTAGTACTTCTAAACTAAAACGAGGCCTGGTCCTTCTATAGTTGCTTACCCTGCCTTGCATTAGGCTCTGCTTTCAGCTTTGAGGTAGGTTGCGTAAAGCTGGATCCTTGGAGAGATTCTCTCTCACTCCTGTTTGCATGGTGTAAGTGTAGCTGAGAGCAAATCCCCATCCACAGACTTTGTTGCCGGGGCCATACTTTGTTTATGCTGCTTGTCTCTCCTCCTGACACACTGTCCATTTGTCAGTGTGAACTGTATAAATTACAGCTTCTGTTTCTCCCTGAGGTTCACAGGTGTAACGTAACTTGTGGCTTTGATGGACAGATAGGTGGCGTTTCTATGCTGAGCGTCGCCAAGGAGCCGCATGAATGACAGCTACGTGCTTTGGACTTGGGCCCCTGGTGAAATTTTTTCCCCTCTTACATTTTTTAACTATTGCCCCCAAATTATTGTTCCATCTCTCATTCATTCATTCATTCATTCATTCATTCATTTCTTTCAGGCTAAATTTATATTAAAATTTTATATTGGCATACAAACCTGCAGCTGGAAGCTGTACTCGATGGATATTCTTTTCCTTTCATGTACAGATGGGTTGGTGATCATGCACACGTGTATCTGCCAGAATTATGGTTTGGCTGTTTCCGTCTTGCATTCATTTGCATCTTTCTATGTTATTTTGATGGAAAATGCAGCTTCTCCTTATGAACAGGAATAGTTTTTTTCTGTAGGATTTAAATAGCATTACAGCTCATCATAAAAAACTGAGATCTTTTTTTCTGGAATGCATGGGGTAAATACAGTGGAATTCAGTTGGGTTTTTCAATTCTTGCATAAGAATGAAACTGCATGAAAAGCGAGCTCCCAGGCCCGCCCAAATGGTATGTAACAGTACTGAACTTACCAGTATGCCATCTGTGCGGGAATCGGAACTGGTTTACTTTATGTTGTTTAGCTTGAGTATGTTCTTCCTTTTAAGAGATGAGAACATTTATAGAAAATGTGTGGAGGCCCGAGGCTGTCATTTCTG